CTCCGTCTTGCAGGCCCTGCGGAACTGCACTAGGTCCCGCAGGGCCCGGGTATCTTCCGGGAGCTCATTCCACCAGGTGGGAGCCGCCACCGAAAACGCCCCAGCCCTAGTTTGGGCCAGCTTTGCTTCCCGGGGGCCTGGAATTTCCAGGCGATGAGAATTCCCCGACCTCAGTGCTCTTGGGGGAACATGCGGGGAGAGGCGGTCCCTTAAGTAGGCCGGACCCAGGGCAAAGCTGAGAATCTTTTTGCGCCCTTTCCCCCCCCTTTGCCCGCAAATCGCAAATCCTTTCCTGGCCATAACTCACGCGTATCCTGGCAGGTGGACCGTGCAAAGAGGCCCAGTATAAAAAGGAAAGGAGAGGGGATCTTTTCTCACCTTGATCACACCGAATGCCTTTGAAGCCCGGGCTGCAGTAACAGGTGCCCGTCACGTAGTCGCAGGTGGCGTTGTTCATGCACTCGCACAGCTGCTGGCAGCCATAGCCGAACGTTCCCGGGGGACACTCTGTAAGTTCAAGGCAGAAAATGGCTCGAGAAGGATTCTCTGCCCTTTGGCGAGGCTGTTTACAAGCCTGCTTTGGCAACCGAGGATTTCTGCAGGGTATTTTCTCGCCAAAGAGGAGGCCAGAGGAACGGCTCGAGACCTCAGATCGCCTCCCAGCAGAGGGGCTTACAGGGACCCCCAACTCCACGCTCCCGGCCTATCTAAGATCCCCGCGCCTCTTCCATGATAGCTCTGGTCACATTTCGCAGTGAATGCACATGCATCCCATGCACATGTGGGTACTCCCGTTTGTCAGAAAGAGCCAACACATGTTTACTTCACAAATGGAACCGGGAACCTGTACCTAGATAAATATGGGGCTTATATCACGCCTTTAGCTGTACATGGACTGTACGTTACAGTGAACACTTACGTTACACGGCTACGTTACAGTGAACACATGTACTGCCTCTACAGAGTGTGCACTTGATTTCCCTCTATACGTGTGCAGAGTAATTCTCACATGACATTCAATGCCTGTATAGCTAAGCATGTGATACAAGCCCCATGTTTATTTCATTTGTTACTTATTTATTTAAAACATTTATATGCTGCCTTTCCACAGGGGCTGACCAGTTCCTCTGGAGGGCCAACAGCACGGCACAGAGGCCGAGGCCTTCCCCTGGTATTGCCTCCTGGCTCTGGGATTCAGAGGATTAGTGCCTCCGAATGTGGAGGTTCCCCTCAGCCACCAGGGCTAGGAGCCGTTGATAGACTCATCCTCCATGAATCTGCCTAATCCCCTTTGAAAGCTGTTTATCCCTGTGGCCGCAACTATATCCTCTGGCAGCGAATTCCACATTTGATTCACTCTCTGCGTAAAGAAGTATTTCCTTTTGTCCACCCTGAATGTACTGCCCATCAGCTTCATCGGATGCCCTCCCGTTCTACTATTTTACGGGAGGGAGAAAAAGTTCTCTTGGTCAAGTCTCTTCTTCACCCAATGCATTTTGCTCACAAGACTCCACAGCTTAGAGGGAACATTGGGCCCACAACTATATCCTCTGGCAGCGAATTCCACATTTGATCCACTCTCTGGGTAAAGTTGTATTTCCTTTTGTCCATCCTGAACCTACTGCCCATCAGCTTCATCGGATGCCCTCCCGTTCTACTATTTTACGGGAGGGAGAAAAAGTTCTCTTGGTCAAGTCTCTTCTTCACCCAATGCATAATTTGATAAACCCCTATCATGTCCCCCCCCTTAGTTGTCTGTTCTCCAAACTGAAAAGTTCCCAGACTCTTCAGCCGTGTCCCTCTCCCCTTTGCTGCCCTAAATGGCTTTGGGGAAGGGGTTCAGGAAACTTCATCATTAAACCCAGGGGTCATTTCCTGCAGGAGCGCACAGGAGCGGAGCTCCGGCAGTAAAGAGCCCAGGAGGCGGGCACATGCAACAAGCCCCACCCCCTGCTCCCAGCAGCCCTCAGTTGGGCCATGAGGAGCAAGAAGCAGCCAGGTAAGTTGCAGAGCCCCCTCCCGGCCCAAAACCGTCCAGTGGCACCAAGTTTTATTCAGGTCCAAGCTCTCCCTCCTCTGCGAGGACAGATCTGCACGTCCCCACCCCCAATAGCTAGCAATCCGAAACAGTCCAGTGGAGCCTGAGCGGTGGGTGTTGCCTTACATAAGAACATAAGAGACGCCAATGTTGGATCAGGCCAAAGGCCCATCCAGTCCAACACTCTGTGTCACACAGTGGCCAGAAATACCAGTGCCATCAGGAGGTCCACCAGTGGGGCCTTCTGACACACTTCCAGTGATGTCAGGGTGTGTGGCATATGCAAATAAGTTATGCTAATGAATTATGCTAATGAGCTCCTGCACCTCGTTTTCTACGAAATGACCCCTGATTAGGAGATAGGAAGTAGAATTGTATAACCCCTATAATACTTATTCAACAGTTGAATAACAGTTGATAGAGTATTGTAGAAATTTAGAGTTTTAGTAATTTTGTAATTAACATTTGCAGATTCAACGCAGTTTTATATTTGAATATTTTATATATATTATTGGTACCCTTTTTGTATTGTTTGTAATTGGGCTGGTGATATACCAAATAAACTGAACTGAACCGAACCCCTGATTAAACCCTAATAGCAGCTCAGCTGGATCAGCCCCAAACCAATAGCGAACCCCATGTCTGGGGCAGCAAATCCCATAAACTGATTTATACACTGGGCAAAGAACTTCCTTCTGTCTGTCCGTCCCCCGATCCATCTCATTAGGCAACTGCTATTGTGGTAGGTGGAGAGAAATGCCTTCCCGCCCACTTCCTCCGCATCTAATACGATTCTGTAGAATCCCATAATGCCCCCTTGTCAATTGTCTTTTTACGCTAACCTTTAAAAGCTCCTCAGACTTTAAACTTTCCCTGATAGGGAAGGCGGTCCAACCCCTGGACCATTTCGGCTGCTCTTTTGTGCCCCCCTGGGACACGGGAACTGACTGCACAGTTATTTGGAACCAGGGCCGGCCCCAGCTTATTTTGCACCCTAGGCGAGGATCCCTTCTGGCGCCACCCCCCCCCCCCATGCACCCACCAATTTTCAAAAATAAATGCATTTTAGGAAGAATGAAAAATACAAATGATCAAGAAACTCCCAGAGTGCGGGGCCGGGTGCAGCTTGGCGCCCCTAAGGGCCGGCCCGCTCTAGGCGATCGCCTAGTTCGCCTAGTGAGTGAGTGAGCCGGCCCTGTTTGGAACCTGCCCGAAGGTAATAAAGCCCAAAGGAAGGCTGGGTTCCTATCTTGCTATTTTAGATGTTTCAGAAATACTCTGGACGGCCCAGGCTACCCTGATCTCATCAGATCTCGGAAGCTGAGCGGGGTCAGCCCTGGTTAGTACTCGGATGGGAGACCACCAAGGAAGCCCAGGGTTGCTACGCAGAGGCAGGAAATGGCAAAACCACCTCTGAACGTCTCTTGCCTTGAAAACCCGACGGAGTCGCCATATGTCAGCTGCAACGTGATGGCATTTTCCACCACCATCCGAGCCCAGACTAACTTGATCTTGTCGGAGCTCAGGAGCTAAGAAGAGTCAGGACTTGTTAGCGTTTGGAAGGGAGACCTAAAACCAGGGCTATTTTTGGGCGGGAATGCACAGGAATGGCGTTCCGGCTGGCTCCCGAGTTGGCCACGCCCAGCAGGAACTCATTAGCATAATAGGCCACACCCAATATCAGGAACTCATTAGGAGTGGCTACTTTAGGGGTGTGTGGCCTAACATGCAAAGGAGTTCCTGCTACAAAAAAAGGCCCTGGGTTTGGACAACAAACAAGGTCAACAGAATAAGAAGCAAAAGGTGGGTGTGGCTGGATGACCACACTTCTGGTAACATGGGGGTGTGGCCTAATGTGCTAATGAGTGGTGCTGTCAGGGTGGGGCCTAATATGCTAATGAAGTTTCTGCTGTTGGGTGTGGCCTATTATGCTAATGAGTTCCTGCTGGGCTTTTTCTACAAAAAGAGCCCTGCCTAAAACAGTAGGTATGAAAATATATATATATACAGATGTGTGCTAGATGCCCAAAGAATGAGTGAGTGAGGCATAGTGTGGGTCCATTTTACTTTGGCAGCAGCATTAGCACGCTTAGCCATAAGGGAGGAGACCTTGACCAAACAGATTAACAGAAAAGTAAATTAAGGAAAGTGTCAACTTGAATATAAGACGGAATGTAAGATTTCTATACAGGATTTGTTCCCGAGGAAAGACCAGAGGTCTGAAACACTTAGATATCCGGAAAAAGTGTTGACTGAAAGGGAGACACAGTTTGACTGAGTTTGGAGCAGGCTGCTTTTGTGATGAATTTGAATAAGGATATAAGACATAGGGATATAGACTGGGAGAGACCGGAGCAGACGGCTGTGTGAGTTTTTATTGACCTTTGTATTTTTTCTATGAAGGAATATGTTGTTTGCCTTTATTAAAGGTAAAGGTTCCCTTGCTCAAAAGCCAGTCGAATCTGATTCTAGGGTTGTGGTGCTCATCTCCGTTTCAAAGCCGAAGAGCCAGCGCTGTCCGAAGACGTTTCCGTGGTCATGTGGCCGGCATGACTAAACACCGAGGCGCACGGAACGCTGTTCCCTTCCCACCGAACTGGTACCTATTTATCTACTTGCAATTTCTTGCTTTCGATCTGCTAGGTTGGCCTTTATTAAAAAGGTAAAGGTTCCCTTGCTCAAAAGCCAGTCGAGTCCGACTCTAGGGTTGCGGTGCTCATCTCTGTTTCAAAGCCGAAGAGCCAGCGCTGTCCGAAGATGTTTCCGTGGTCATGTGGTCGGCATGACTAAACACCAAGGCGCATGGAACGCTGTTCCCTTCCCACCGAAGTGGTACCTATTTATCTACTTGCAATTTCTTGCTTTCGAACTGCTAGGTTGGCAGGAGCTGGAACTAGAAATGGGAGCTCACTCCGTCTTGCGGCACCTGGGTCTCGAACTGCTGAACTACCGACCTTCCACAGCCTGCAGTTCAGTGTCTTAACCACTTGAGCCACCACAACTCCTTTATTACCAGACACTAAATAATGTTATGGCTTTAATTTAGTCTCATTCGTTGTTGTATTGTTCTGTGGGCATCTAGCACACGTCTGTACATATTTTTTTCATATGTACTGGTTGGGAGACGACCAAGCGATCCCAGGGTGGGTACACAGAAGCAGGCAAGGGCAAACCACCTCTGTTCATCTCTTCTCTTGGAAACCCTGTGAGGTCACCAGGACTTGACGGTACTTTCCACCACCACCGCCACCACCAAAACATTATCCGTACTACATTTCAAACTGAGCTTCTGGCATTTTCTGTGGGGTTTCTCTCCCTCCCACCCCCTTCTTGGATTACAACATTCGGTTTCTGCATTTCAATCGCGGACCCCATGATTGACTATCCCGTGACAAAATTTATTCATACAATTACTATGATGGCCTAGAACAATAAATCTATCGGCTGCGTCGTATGTATCTTTGAGCAACATTCAATAACAAATGGAGGGGAAGGCTGTAAACCGGTCTGGTGACTCCGGCGAGTTTGCGAGGGGGGGAAAAAAAGGTTTTATGGAATGCGCCAGCCAAACGCCCCATTTCTTTTATAAGAAACGTCGGCCAGCATTAGTCTGGTTGTTCCTTTGGAAAGAGACCTTCCCAAAGTCAATTGGAGATCAGCCGCCCTCCCAAAATGCCAATGTTGTGATAGATACCAATTTGGAGATCAATGTAGTAAATGATAAACATTATGTTCTGTCATTTTGTTATCATACAAATCCCATACGAAAGTAGTGCAAAGAATGAGGCCCCAACACTCACCCGCTCAACAAATTTGTGAACTGTGCCTTTTAATCTATTTTAATTCGAAATGGGTTATGATCGACGTCTTTGCAACTTGGTTTGCAGCTCTGCAGCCTTGAGTCCAAGGAGGCAAGTCGGGATAGAAATATTTTCACTAAACAGACCTAAGGATGACGCCAATAGCTACGCCCAGAAAGCCTGAGGGGAAAGGCTGGGTGTTCCGGTATCCAGAAAAAAAGGGGAAGAAAAACTAAACCGATTCAGCAAAAACCTCCAAAAGGAGTTTAGAAAACCAGCTGAGGGCTTTATTTGGGCCCCTACAACGTTTTTATTCAGTTTTTGAAGTAAACATGTGTACTTTCGTCTATACCTATGTTTTTAACTTTTGGCCCTATATTAGTTTTCTAAACTGTTTTGGTATCCAACCTTCCATTTGGTGACAAAGGGCTGGATCCAGACTGAACCAGCAACTGCCGCTGATTTCCCCTTCCTATTGCAGACCCCCCGGTCATTCCTCAGGGGTCTCCTATGCCGCAGGAACAGTTTTTTCATGGAGATCAGGGGGACGCAGTTGGAATGGGGAGGCAGGAAAGTTCCATCCTGCAGTTGGAAAATTTAGACTGGATCCAACCCAAGAGTCCCTACACCCAACGAAAACCAGCAAGTACTTCTTTTAGGAGTCTATCCGAAAGTATTACACCCTTAGAATCTAAAATATCTTCATATCTCCAATTTGGGTACTTGATATAAAGTGATGGAACTGCAAAGGCCTCTATAGGCGAGAGCCATCGAGGAATTTTTGTATATTGTTTCACTTTTATTTCCTCCCAAATTTTATAGAGTGCTGCCTGAACCGTATGTTGCTTAAAGGTCGTAGAAACAAGGGACGAACCTAACATGGGGAAAAAATCAACTGATGTCAAGATGGTCAAGAGATAAACAAGCGGGTATATATGAGTCGAAAACAGAGCTCGATAAGATCTGGTTAGGTACAAAAGAAAAGTTCATTAAAAAGGCCTATAATTTTTGGTTAGAATGGAAAATGGAGGACGAACAGGTGAAACCATCGATGTTAGCCTGGATGAGAGATATAGGTTACCCTATAAGTTTTGAACAATGGGGTAAAATTTGGATGAGAAATATAAAGATGGTTAGATCGAGTGCGTTGAAAGAAAATGTAGTAAAGATGTTTTATAGTGGCATATTTCTCCCGCCAGATTGAACAAATGTAATAAGAAATTAGGAAAGTATTGTTAGAAATGCAAACATAGTATTGGCATGTTTTACCACATTCTTGAAAGTTAAAAAATATTGGCGGCTAGTGAAAGAAATGTTGGATAATATAATAGGTAAAGATATTCCTATGACCCCAGAATGCTTTTTGTTAAATGTGATACCTGATATTTTTGTGAAAAAAGAAATATATTTAATAATGCAAATCTTGACAGCGGCGAGAATTGTACTAGCCAAGAAATGGAAGGAGGAGAATATTCCTTCCAAAGAGGAGATTATTTGTAAAGTATTCGAAATAGCAGAATTGGAAAAACTAACTTGTATCATTGAAGAAAAGAGTGAGGAGAAATTTGAAAAGTATTGGCTAAATTTCTATAACTGGTTGAAAGAAACAAAGTTTGGTTTAATTTAACTGATTAAGGCAAAGGGTAGAGTGCACGGGATCTTTATTTTAAATGATTTGAGGATATCTGCAAAAAGAAAGTACGGTCTTGAGCTGTTTATGTTTTTTTTCGTTTTCTGTATATAAAATGTGGAAAATTCAATAAATAAAACATTAAAAAAAGAAAACCAGCAAGTACTACGTAGAGGATTCCCTGGGGTGGATCCTACCCCTGTCTTACCCCTCCACTGAGCTAAATGTGTTTGTTTATTGAAATAGTTCTCCTGCACCTTCCCTTTTGGCACACGTCTGATGCTTTCCTCCAATCTAAGGAGACCTCCTCCAAATCGAGCAGCTCTTCCACTGGCGGAAGGGTCCCTTCTGTTGGAAGAACAGCTCAATTCGAGCTTTAGAGACCAACCAAAAGTTCGGGATACGAACTTTTAAGAGTCAAAGCTCCGTTTGCTGGGGACTCAGGGCTCGCTTTGACTCTCGAAAGTTCACACCCGGAAAATCTCCCTGTAAAGTGTTGCTGGACTCAAATCCAGTTGTGCTACTGCAGACCGACATGGCTCCCCTCTGAAATTAAGTTGCAGGAAGACTCCTTGGGCCAGAGGAAGGCTATTTGGAAGATTACTGGATCCCACCCTGCTATCTATTTCTGCCTGATCAGCAAGCACATTAGATAGGTAGTTTATTTCTTACAGCACCAAGCCAGCAAATCAGTAATTCTCAGTCTAGGGCAAGGGATGCTCTGTATTCTTGGTGCTTGGAGGGGGGCAACAGTGGGAGGGCTTCTAGTGTCCTGGCCCCACTGCTGGACCTCCTGATGGCACCTGGTATTTTTGGCCACTGTGTGACACAGAGTGTCGGACTGGATGGGCCACTGGCCTGATCCAACATTGGCTTCTCTTTTACGTTCTTAAGAGCAGAGGTCTATCAGTGGCTATTAGCCACAAGGGATAGATAGGAACTCTCAGTCTGGGGCAAGTGATGCTCTTTATTCTTGGTGCTTGGGGGGGGGCAAGAGTGGGAGGACTTCTAGTGTCCTGACCCCACTGGTGGATCTCCCAATGGCCCCTGGTATTTTTGGCCACTGTGTGATAGAGTGTTGGACTGGGTGGGCCATTGGCCTGATCCAGCATTGGCTTCTCTTATGTTCTTATAGGGAGCAGACGTCCATCAGTGGCTCTTAACCACATGGGATAGATAGGAACTCTCAGTCTGGGGCAAGTAATGCTCTGTATTCTTGGTGCCTGCAAGGGGGGGGGCAACAGTGGGAGGGCTTCTAGTGTCCTGGCCCCACTGCTGGACCTTCTGATGGCCCCTGGTATTTCTGGCCACTGTGACACAGTGTGTTGGACTGGACGGGCCATTGGCCTGATCCTACACTGGCTTCTCTCTTATGTTATCTTATGTTCTCATGTAACATTATACATCATCGATATAAACAATTTCTTAAAATATAAAAAAACATAGTCTAAAATAAATTTAGAAGATTAAATATTCTTTTCTCTGCGGATACAGTAACAGGCTGCACAGAGTTTAGCTACATGTTTAGTAATGGTCTGATTATCATCTGATAGTAAGTAATTGGCATAGAATCCATCAGGCCAGGCGTTTCCTTTACCAGAGGTAAGATACATTTGGCTCAACTCAACTTGTACCGTGGGCACCTGAGAAACGTATGTTCAAATACTTTCAACTTCTCCCAAACCACATTGACAAAGTCTCTGGTCGAAAGGTATCTTCCCGTATCTCCCCTCAAGGACAGCCGAGGGAAGGGCTGAGCATCTAGCTAAGCCGAAAGAACATTTGTGCCTTTCGGATCGGGGCACTCAGTCGTGGGGAAAAACTCTGAAGACCGACGGAAGGCATAATTTACCATCACCCTTAACATGTTATGGCCAGACGCTGCTAATGTCGGCTGCCGCTCGCAAACAACACTAGCACTTCACGCTGTGTTTTAAAAGTGTTATCGCTGTGGTTTGACCTAATCTTGTGTTTTAATGTTTAATATGTTTTATGTAAGCCGCCTTGAGCGGGATACAAATAAAATGAATGGATGAATAAATAAATAAATAATTCCAGGGACTCTAAAAATATCATCAGCCCCCCCCCACACACACACTGCAAAGGGTAAACTGACCCCAGGAACAATGGCAGGAGCCCCAGGGGTCATTTCCTGCAGGAGCGCACAGGAGCGGAGCTCCAGCAGTAAAGAGCCCAGGGGGCGGGAACATGCAACAAGCCCCACCCCCTGCTCCCAGCAGCCCTCAGTCAGAGCAAGAAGCAGCCAGGTAAGTCACAGAGCCCCCCCCCGGTCCAAAACAGTCCAGTGGCACCTTTAAGTCCAAGTTTTATTCAGGTAGAAGCTCTCCCTCCTCTGCGAGGACAGATCTGCACGTTCCCCCCCCCACTAGCTAGCAGTCCAAAACAGTCCAGTGGAGCCTGAGCGGTGGGTGTTGCCTTCTGACACACTTCTGGTGATGTCAGGGGGTGTGGCATATGCAATAACGTATACCAACGAGTTATGCTAATGAGTTATGCTAATGAGCTCCTGCACCTCTTTTTCTACAAAATGACCCCTGTGGAGGCCCCCCCCCTTTCTTACTTTGCTCACAGTGCTTCCCAGTAAACCCAGTCCGGCAGGTGCACTGCCCAGAAACATGGTCACAATCTGCTCCGTTCTGGCACTGGCAGACGTTGGCGCAGCTGGCACCGTAGAAGGCAGGGGGGCATCCTGCGGGGAGACGCGATCCGAAGGCAGAAAAAAGAAAAAGAGAAGAGAGATAAACTTGGAGGCAGCATTTTGGGGGAAAGAACAGTCAAGGAAATGTTTTCAGAGCGGCCTGCCTGATTTACAGCCCAATCCCATTTAGCTCAGGCAAGACAGACCCATTACAGATATGAGGCGGGGTGGGGTGGGGGAGTGTTCTGGAGGATTTGCGGCAGTGTGCTCTGCCAGGCCCCGAGGGGTGGGGGCCGTTAAAGATTTAGAGGACTGGTGATGGGTGACGCTGAAAGGGAGCCAGAAGGAAACTCAAATTGTAAAAAAAGAGAGAGAGAGAGGCACTGGATCTTACTCGCATGTAGGGGTCATTTCCTGCGGGAGCGCACAGGAGCGGAGCTCCGGCAGTAAGGAGCCTAGGGGGCGGTCACATGCAATAAGCCCCACCCCCTGCTCCCAGCAGCCCTCAGTTGGGCCACGAGGAGCAAGAAGCAGCCAGGTAAGTTGCAGAGCCCCTCTCCCGGCCTGCCTTCAGGTACAAGCTCTCCCCCCTCTGTGAGGGCAGATCTGCGTGTCGTCCCCCCCCAATAGCTAGCAATCCAAGAGAGTCCAGTGAGCCTGAGCAGCGGGTTTTGCCTTCCAACACACTTCCGGTGATGTCCGGGGGTGTGGTGTATGCAAATAAGTTATGCTAATTAGTTATGCTAATGAGCTCCTGCGCCTCTTTTTCCACGAAATGACCCCTGCTCGCATGTAAAGGTTTTGGAACTGTTCCTCCTTTGCTCCCCCAGCCGCCCTGCCGGGAGCCACAGTATGTGTGAAAGAGCCGCAGGTGGCCCCGGAGCCGCAGTTTGGCCACCCCGATATAACTATATAAGTAAAGCTGCTTTGTCTGGAGCACAGCTCAAGTGCCTGATTTTTTTTACTCATTTGCTTGTAATGAGGCTCTTCACCCCCTCGGACTAGGGTTACCAGGGCTATTTTTGGGCAGGAACTCGCAGGAACGGAGTTCCGGCTGGCTCCTGAGTCCTGAGTTGGCCACGCCTAGCAGGAACTGGTTAGAATGGTAGGCGACACCCAAGCCAATCATTAGGATTGGGTGCATTAGGGGTGTGTGGCCTAACATGCAAAGGAGTTCCTGCTACAAAAAAAGGCCCTGGGTTTTGACAACAAACAAGGTAAACAGAATAAGAAGCAAAAGGTAGGTGTGGCTCGGTGAGCACACTTCTGGTAACACAGGCGTGTGGCCTCATATGCTAATAACCTGTGCTGCCAGGGGGTGTGGCCTAATATGCTAATGAGTTCTTGTTGTTGGGTGTGGCCAATTATGCTAATGAGTTCCTGCTGGGCTTTTTCTACAAAAAAAGCCCTGAGGTTCCCCAATTTAAATGATCTGCTGTTTGATTTTGTATACTGGTTCTGATTACATATTGTTGCATTTTAATAAACGATTAAAAAATATTCAATATGGTCTTTTTACTTGGCTTTCTTTTACAGCCCCTAATCTTTGCCGGGACTCTGACACAAGAAAACAAGCCCCCCGGGGAATAGAATGCCTCTATACAACTGATAGAAGCATAAAAGCAAGTTTTACAGTTTCCCTCCTCTCCTTTGCCAAGAACAGCTCCTTTACACCAGAGATTAAAATTAGGAAGAGTCCACAATAAGGCTGCATTTCTAGGGCTGGGCACGAGGGGGCAGCATTTGCCTTTGCAGGTTACCGGCTCAGGCGTTTCCCCCGAAAGTAAATCCTCTTACTTTGTGTACAATAAGGTCCCGTCCAGCCAGGGGTGCACCTGCATTCGCCGTCATAGGGGCTACAGGTCGCGCTGTTGTGGCAGCTGCAGGTGTGAAAACAATCAGCACCCCAGAAGCCAACTGGGCAAGCTGGAGAGAGAGAATGAATGAATGAGTCAAAACAATAACGCCATATTTTAAACACATAGCAAAGTCCATCGCGTCATTGTGCTGCATGAAGGAGTCCATGAAGACTGCGGGACCTCTATGCAAATGTACATCCCCGATCACAGAGGTCTTAACTGCATGGGATCTGGGTGTTCTGGTTGATCATAAGCTAAACATGAGCCTGCAGTGTAATGTGACTGCGAAGAAAGCGAATGCAGTCTAAGGAGGCATGAATAGAAGCAATGTGTCCAGATCACGGGAGGTGGTCGTTCCGCTCTATTCTGCTATGGTCAGGCCTCACCTGGAGTACTGTGTCCAGTTTTGGGCACCCCATTTTAGGAAGGATGTTGACAAGCTCAAGCGTGTCCAGAAGAGGGCAGCCAGGATGGTGAGAGGGTTGGAATCCAAGTCTTATGAGGAAAGGCTGAAAGACTTGGGTCTGTTTAGCCTGGGAAAGAGAAGGCTTCGCGGGGACATGATTGCAGTCTTCAAGTAATTGAAGGGCTATCATGTAGAAGATGGAGCAGATTTATTCTCTCTTGCTCCGGATTGCAAGACTAGATCTTAATGGGTGGAAATTACAAGGGAGTCGTTACCGGCTAAATATCAGGAAAAACTTCCTAACTGTAAGAGTGGCTGAGCAGTGGAACAGTCTGCCTCAGGAGGTGGTGGATGCTCCGCTGGACGTTTCCAAGCAGAGGCTGGACGACCATCTTTTGGGTAGGTTGTAGGGCTATCTTTCGGCTACGCTCCTGCAGAGGTGCAGGGGGTTGGACTAGATGACCTGCAAGGTCCCTTCCAACTCTAACATTCTATGATTCTATGATTCATGCACATTCCACAGGAGTGAATTAGCGGTGCGATCCAAACAGAACCACACCCATCCTGAATCCATGGAAGTCAATAGGTTTAGAAAGGTGTAACTGTTTAGGATCCCACTGTAAGCAGAACTCTGTATACATACAGGGCTCCCTCTGTCTCAAAGGGGTCAGTGGATTGGGGCATTACAGACTCTTCTCCAATGTTCCCTCTAAGCTGTGGAGTCTTGTGAGCAACAATTCTATTTTGTGAGCTCCTGGCATTAAAGTGGTGAGCGAGCGATTTGGCTGCTGCATAAATTAGTTTGCTCTGGAGCCATCCTTCCTGAGCTAAGACAAAAAAGTGTGAGCCAGAGACTAAAAAACTGTGAGCTAGCTCACACTAACTCGGCTTAGAGGGAACACTGCTCTTCTCTGCAAATTTTAGAAAACTCCCCACCAGAACCACTGCTGGGCTCCTGCGCATGTGCAAACCAGTTTTAAAGCAAAACAAAGCATTCCCCGTCACCAAAGACAAACAGAAATGAACGGCGCTCTCCCAATTACTTGTCCCAATGTAACGAACCCGCCACAAAATTGACAGCCTTACTAATTCTTTTCTGAGTGACAGCAATATTCTGCCGGCGGAAGGGGCAAAATAAAAGCAAAATTGCAGCTGTCGGTTTTTATCCGATCCCTCCTTTATCATGGGAGGTTTTAATATATTTTACCGCAAATGCTGTCTAATACCCTGGGCTGCGCCGTGAATATGAAGTAACATTCGTGAGCGTCTGGCTAGGCCTTCCCGGAGACGGTCCGCCTCCAATTAAGGCATTCGTTTGGGAAATGCCAGTTTTTGGATCCGCAGACGTCAATCTTCCACCTAGGCAATTGCAGAGAAGTTGCTGATATCTTTCCAAAAAAAAAAACAACCCTTGCCCAGACTTTTACAAGTAAATTAAGTGCAAAAGGAATATATCATTGCTCTAATTTCCCAGCCATACGGACCTTGCAGCGCTGAGCGGCTGATTGCTTAATGATTTCTTAGAGAACGTGCCATGAAGAATGAACCGATCTCCCGTTTACCACTAAAAAGGGAACTGCTGCTTTAGAGTTATAAACTTATCTGGCCGAACACAAAATAAGGAAATGGGATCGCGACCACATACTATACACGAACAAACTCACTCTGTTGGGTTGTTTTTGTTTTGTTTTTTACATTGTTACCGAATGCACAGCTTTGTATGTAAAGACAACGGGAAATGGCTTTCACTGGACTAGAACAACGGTACTTCTATAAATTGTTCTGGGCTGTCCACAGAAGGATTTGTGTCCCTTAAAACCTGCTGCAGAAGAGTGAGAGATTTCACGAGTACTGGTGGAGCCAGTTGCAACCCTGACAAGATATATCAGGGGTAGAACCAGGGCTATTTTGGGGCAGGAACGCACAGGAACGGAGTTCCGGCTGGCTCCTGATTTGGCCACACCCAGCAGGAACTCATTAGCATAATAGGCCACACCCAACAGCAGAAACTCATTAGGATTGGCTACATTAGGGGTGTGTGGCCTAACATGCAAAGGAGTTCCTGCTACCAAAAAAGGCCCTGGGTTTTGACCACAAACAGGTAAACAGAATAAAGAAGCAAAAGGTGGGTGTGGCTGGATGACCACACTTCTGGTAACATGGGTGTGTGGGCTAATATGCTAATGTGCTGTGCTGTCAAAGTTGTGGCCTAATATGCTAATGAGTTCCTGCTGGGCTTTTTCTACAAAAAAAGCCCTGGGTAGAACCAACCTTTTAAGATACCCCAACACAATTAGACAGTTAATGAGTTAAGAGGAGGAGAGTTTACCAACTGGGGGGAAAGCCTTTGAATCTAAAAGCTGACTTAAAAAAAAAATACAGACATCGAGCAAGGGGGTTATGTCACAAAGACAGTGTGTGCTTTGGGTTCTGCACATCTGACAAAGGTATCGCTTAAAGGCAAAGGGCACTTGAAAAAGCACGGGATCGCTCCTCACTCTGCGAACAGTCTTTTCCTATCCAGCCCGGGAAGCACTGGCACGATCCGTCGACGGGGTTACACGTCCCGTTATTGGTGCACAAACAGACTTCAGCGCAGTCCTTCCCGTATCTCCCGCTGGGACACACTGTGGAAACAGAAAGGCAAGGGGATGATGCGGAGCCCGGTGGCCCAACTTGCTTAACATTAAGAACCACACAGAATAAACATCAGATGTTTGAGAGCCGCAAGACACGAACACACGTGTTTTTATTGGGAAAATATGCAAATGTGCATATTAAATTAAAGAGACAAACGCCTTCTCCGAGCCAAGCCAGCCTGGTGGTGTGCGTGGGGCTTGTCGACCACATTTACCTTGCGGTAGGGAGGTGGGGGAGAAAGAAAGGTGGAAAGAAAGCAAAGAGATGGGGGGAGGGGGGAGGGAGGGAGGGAGAGGTGGAAAGAAAGCAACTTTAACTTTTAATGCATCCTGCAAGCCCCCCATGCTGGCTGGCTTGGCTTGGAGAAGGGATTTAAAGAGACAAATGCTTTCTCCAAGCTAGATGGTGGGGGGAGGGCTTTGAGAATCCATTTAAAGTTAAAGATTTCTTTCTTCCTCTGCTCCTGCACACCTCAAGCCTACCCAGGGAGGCGAAAAATGGCTGGAGAAGGGAAGAACGATCAGGTAGGCATGCTTCCCCTTTGCTTCCCCAGCCGCCCTGCCGGGAGCCACACAATATGTGTGAAAGAGCCGCATGGGGTTCCTGAGCCACAGTTTGGCCACCCCTAGTTAGAGCCTATCCCCTCACTATTAGTCCGGTGGAGAGACCGTGGGTCCCCAGCTGTGGTGCCCGTGGGTGCCACGGTATCCTCCGACACCTTCCCTGGCACCTGCCAAGTGTTTTTCGAAAGTGCATGGGGCCAGATTGGGCTCTTGGGCTTCTGATTGGCCACTGAAGATCAGATTGGCAATGTGGATTAAAATAACATTTCAGTAGCAGCTGCCCCCGCAGGGTTGGTTTGATTCTGTCTCTCCTTCCTCTTTCCCAGTGTATTGTTGAAACTACCCCTCCTCTGGGTTGTTTTCAAGACGCTGAACTGCAGGCTGTGGAAGGTTGGTAGTTCAGCAGTTCGAGACCTGAGTGCCGCATGATGGAGTGAGCTCCCGTCTCTAGTTCCAGCTCCTGCCAACCTAGCAGTTCGAAAGCAAGAAATTGCAAGTAGATAAATAGGTACCACTTCGGTGGGAAGGTAACAGCATTCCATGCGCCTTGGTGTTTAGTCATGCCGGCCACATGACCACGGAAACGTCTTCGGACAGCACTGGCTCTTCGGCTTTGAAACGGAGATGAGCACCGCAACCCTAGAGTCGGAGTCGTCTGGCTTTCAACCTTTACCTTTACCTTTTTAAACAGAGAAACTCTCGGTCCGGGGCAAGTGATGCTCTGCATTCTTGGTGCTTGGGGGGGGCAACAGTGGGAGAGCTTCTAGTGTTCTCTTGGCCCCACTGCTGGACTTCCTGATGGCACCTGGTATTTTTGGCCACTGTGTGACAGAGTGTTGGACTGGATGGGCCATTGGCCTGATCGAGCATTGGCTTCTCTTGTGTTCTTATGTTCTTATGAAGTTTGCCTCTTTCTTTTGTCCCCCTCTTGGAGGGGGGGTCAACAGTGGGAGGGCTTCTAGTGTCCTGGCCCCACTGCTGGACCTCCTGATGGCACCTGGTATTTCTGGCCACTGTGTGATACAGAGTGTTGGACTGGATGGCCCATTGGCCTGATCCAACATTGGCGTCTCGTATGTTCTTATGTTTATTTATTTATTTATTTATTTATTATTTAGATTTTTATCCCGCCCTCCCCATAGGCTCAGGGCGGCTGATGTTGACATAATGGAGAAGTACAGAAAATCCAAATCATACTTCAGATTTCTTAGAAAAGCAATTCCTATTGATTTCATACACAGATTCAGGGAAATAATATGGCATAAAACTACCTCCAAAGTTTTAAGAAGAAGAAGAAGAGATTGGATTTATACCCCACCCTTCACTACCCAAAGGTGTCTCAGAGCGGCTTACAAACGCCTTCCCCTCCCCACAACAGACACCCTGTGAGGTGGGTGAGGCTGAGAGAACTCTGATACAAACTGCTCTTTTTCAAGGACAGCCCTTATCAGAACTAGGCCTTGCCCAAGGTCATCCAGCCAGGTGCAAGTGGAGGAGTGGGGAATCAAACCCGGTTCTCCCAGATTAGAGTCCGTCCACTTCACCACTACACCAAACTGGCTGGATATCCCAGGCTAGCCTTGATCTCGTCAGATCTCAGAAGTTAAGCAGGGTCGGCCCTGGTTAGTCCTTGGATGGGAGACCACCGAGGAAGTCCAGGGTTGCTGCACAGAGGCAGGCAAGGGCAAACCACCTTTGTTTGTCTCTTGCCTTGAAAGCCCTACAGGGTTGCCATCGTCGATGGTGCTTTACACCACCACTCAAGCCCAGTCTAGCTGGATCCTATCAGATCTCAGAGCTAAGCAGGGTTAGGCCTGGTTAGTCCTTGAATGGGAGACTACTGAGGAATTCCAGGGTCACTATACAGAGGTCACTATACCACCTCTGGTCTGTCTCTTGTCCTGACTTGGATGGCCCAAGCTAGCCCAGACTGGCCAGATCTTGGAAGCTAAGCAGGGTTGGCCCTGGTTAGTATTTGGATGGGAGACCATGAAGGAAGGCTGGGGTTGGTACGCAGAGGCAGGCCACGGCAAACCACCTCTGTTTGTCTCTTGCCTTGAAAACCCTGCAAGGCTGCCACAAATCCACTGTGACTTGACAGTGCTTTCCACCGCCGTAATGAAAAACGGATAGTTTTTATTATATGCTTATTTAAACATTTATTGCAATGTATAACAATATACTGTCCCGTTGACGAGACCTCAATTGTAAGATTTCACTTCTCATCAAAGAAGAAGAGGAGGAGGAGGAGGAGGAGGAGGAGGAGGAGACTGGATTTATACCTCGCCCTTCGCTTGGAGTCTCAGAGCAGTTTACAGTCTTCTTTCCCTTCCCCTCCCCACAACAGACACCCTGGGAGGTAGGTGGGGCTGAGAGAGCTCTGAGAGAACTGCTCTTTCAAAAACAGCTCTGACAGAACTTGAGACTGACCCACGGTCATACCAGCAGCTGCATGTGGAGGAGTGGGGAATCAAACCCAGTTAAGAGTCCACACTCTTAACTATGATTACAACAAACTGGCTCTCCAGTTTGGTGAAAACGCACATCCGCTGTCACTTCTCTATATATGCCCTTTGTTGTTCAGTCGCACAGTCGAGTATGACTCTTCGCGACCCCATGGACCAGATCCCGCCAGGCCTTCCAGTCTTCCGCCGTCCTCTGAAGTTGGCTCAATTTCATGTTCGTTGTATCTATGACACTGTCTAACCATCTCATCCTTTGCCGTCCCCGTCTTCTTTGACCTTCAATCTTTCCCAGCATCAGGGTCTTCTCCAGTGAGTGCTCCCTTCTCATTGGGTGGCCAAAGTATTTGAGCCTCAGTTTCATTATCTGGCCTTCCAGGGAACAGTCAGGGTTGATTTCTTTTAGGATTGACTGATTGGATCTTCTTGCAGTCCAAGGGATTCTCAAGAGTCTTCTCCAGCACCATAGTTCAAAAGAATCTATTCTTCGGCGCTCGGCCTTCCTTATAGTCCAACTCTCGCAGCCATACATGACTACTGGGAATACCATTGCTTTCACCATGCGGACTTTTGTTGGCAGGGTGAGTTCTCTACTTTTTATCATGCTGTTTAGGTTCGCCATCGCTTTCCTCCCAAGGAGCAGGCGTCTTTTAATTTCATGGCATTTTAATATATGCCCTAGCTGATGGTAAAATCTAGGACAGGCTCTTTAGCTTGGCTGTTATAGTTCTCTACAGAGTTTCCTTTACCTTCTGGCTCCCTTCAGATGTCCAGGCCAACCACCTGGTCAGTGGCCGCCTGCTTGCAAGCCACAGCTCAGAGTTCTCCTCAGTGAAGCATCCCAGGGAAAGATTTATTTCCTGTTGCAAGGAGAATTTATCACCTCTCCCCCTCCCACCTTGCCTGGGTCAGGCCAGATAAGGCATCTTTTCCTGCTGTGTCCAGGAAGTTCCCCCCTCAGCCTCTCTAGAATTTGACACCCCCCAACCAATGCTCCCTCTAAGCTGTGGAGTCTTGTGAGCAAAAATTCTACTCTGTGAGCTATTGGCATAAGAAGGAGGAGGAGGAGGCTGGATTTATACCCCGCCCTTCACTACCCAAAGGTGTCTCAGAGTGGCTTACAAACTCCTTTCCCTTCCCCTCCCCACAACAGACACCCTGTGAGGTGGGTGAGGCTGAGAGAACTCTTGACAGAAACTGCCCTTTTTCAAGAACAGCTCTGACAGAACTATGGCTTGCCCAAGGTCATCCAGCCAAGTGCAAGTGGAGGAGTGGGGAATCAAACCCGGTTCTCCCAGATTAGAAGAAGAAGAAGAGATTGGATTTATACCCCACCCTTCACTACCCAAAGGAGTCTCAGAGCGGCTGACAAACTCCTTTCCCTTCCCCTCCCCACAACAGGCACCCTGTGAGGTAGGTGGGGCTGAGAGAGCTCTGACAGAAACTGCTCTTTTTCAAGAACAGCTCTGACAGAACTATGGCTTGCCCAAGGTCATCCGGCAGCTGCAAGTGGAGGAGTGGGGGAATCGAACCCGGTTCTCCCAGATTAGAGTCCGTGCTCTTAACCATGACACCAAACTGGCTCTCATTAATGTTGTGAGCGAGCGATTTGGCCGCTGCATAAATTAGTTTGCTCGGGAGCCCTCCTTCCTGAGCGGAGACAAAAACGTGTGAGCCGGAGGCTAAAACACTGTGAGCTAGCCCACACTGACTCAGCTTAGAGGAAACACTGCCCCCAACTTTCTGCTCCCTGCTTGAAGGGGGGGGCGGGGAATGGGGAGGCTTGGCCATCCCATTGTCTCAGACCCATTAGCGTTTCTTAAGAGGTCAGCCTGTAAAGCTGTCGATGGACTTCCTCTGCCCAGAGAACAGGAGGGAAAAACTTTTTAAAAGCCAAAGGAAAGCTGGCTGCTTGTCAACCTCCCAGGACGAAAATTCATTTCTTCATGGTTCGTCGAAGCT